TGTGTGTGTGAATGGGTGGATGACTGGATATGTAAAGCGCTTTGGGGTCCTTAGGGACTAGTAAAGCGCTATATAAATACAGGCCATTTACCATTTACTCTGCAAAGGTAAGAATATTCCACCCACCATGCCCGTCAAAATCTCACAAAAACCTCATTCAGAAATGCACCCCTCCCATTTAACCTGACAGAGCCTGAACATGTGTGAATGTGCTCTTTGGTAAATTTTCTGAACAATCTGGATCTAGTAATGTTTACATATTGCTTTCAACACAGTACAAGTCTGTAAAGTCACTGGACCTTTATATACTGTCAAATTGAGAAGCAGTACAGTATTGTGCAAAAGTCTTAAGCCAGAATGTGTAAAATTCTAGCAATATGCAGAGTCAGTTTTGGCATGACTACATTTATTCTTCAACACAACCTCAACTCTCTTAGGCAGCTTCTTTGTAATTTCTATTGCCGTAATTTACTCCTGAAGTTTCAGGAACAGTTCTGCAGGCTTCTTGACTGACATTTAAAGCTCTTGTTGACTAATACAGTTACATTTTGTCTTTTTCTATCCAAGTATGCTTTTACTGCATTGGCACTGTGTTTGGGATTATTGTCATGCTGAAAAATAAAGCCAGTGCCACTTTCCAGACGGTACTGCATGGTGAAACCACAACAGAGCCTCCACTGTGCTTTACAGATGGCTACACACACTCACTGATGTACTTCTCCCTTCACCTCCTCTGTACATGCTGATGGCATTTTTAACCAAAAGCTGCTGTTAGTATCAAAGTGCCTAAAGATATAATTTGAAATTGTGCAGACTCAACATTGGCTCATCCCACGAGGAGTTAGGTGACTCTTTTATGCTTGAATGATTTACAGGTGAGCGTTAAGTAGCTCAGCAAACAAAAACATTCCTCCTAAATGATCAGGTACAAGGACTGGACTGAAGTCAATGTCAAAAGAAAAACTTTGAAAGACCGTTAGAAAGCCCAGAGAACTATTGCTTGAGACCACTTAGTTGAAGCAAAATAAAAATAAATGACTCAAAATGTTTGCAAAGTGCTGTAACTGATTGAATGAGTACTGTGGCTTGTTCTGACAATCCTGCAGAAATGTTTAAATGACGTCTTGAGGAACACTCATGACCGAGAGTATGTCGGAAAGTTAGTTCTACCTCCAAATAAGAGCAATTTATCTCAGGGGGGAAAAAAGGAAGATTCGAATGTTTGATGTTTTTGCATGAAACATTTTGAATAGATTCTGTAACTAAATATATGTCAAACTTAGAGTGGGATCAAACATTGCATGCTAAAGCTGTTTAACATGAAGACACAATGTTTTTATAACCTCATAACAGACTCAATGTTTTTCCCTTCTGGATATCTGTTTTTGCTCATGTGTTTAAATCTGGAAAATGATCATTTAAACAAGAAATGTGAACTCACAAAGCGAGATGAGTTGTCATTTTTCACTGTCTTGGCATTGCCAAAAGATTCAAGGATGGGGTTGGCTTGCAGGAGCTGGCGTTCCAACTCACCCTGTGGAGAAAGAAAGGGAGGTAAGCCAACTAGCTGTCAAACGTGTGCATTATGCAACTGAATATTTTCTTGTTATCGCTATTTTTTGTGTCTTCCAAAATATCCACAAATTGGCAAGGCAAAATCAAATCTTCTCGAAAAGCAGAGAGAGAAAATGTAGCAAAGTCAATATGCTAAACCAGTCTTTAGACAACCAAGTCCACTCACAAGCTCTTTACCATGACTCTGCTGGCTTTACTTTAGTCAATTGCAGTACAATGTGAATTTTCTCTGGGGAACTCGAAAGGATTTTAGGGGGCCAAAACAACCAAACGGTTTTAGAGAACTTGTGAAACCACAAAGGCAGTACAGAGACGGTGTTTCGTCACATTTCCCAAAGTGAGTGATTAGCTTGGGTTGATGAATGAGATGCTTCCTCCGGCCTTCGCATTCCTCTCGTTGTTATAATATACCCTGTAACGTATGTCTGAAAAGTCTGCCAACACTGTGATAATGATGGCTTCCTCTCAGTTTTGGAAAAAGACATTCCTATGAAACCTTTTACTCCCGGAGAAATGAGATAACCTCCTATATCCAGGGCATGACAGTCCAGAAATAGCCTCTACTGCAAATCAGAGAGTTGTTAAAATCTACTGAGGATATTCCTCTGGACTTTGATAACTCATGGGGAACAGATTAAGTTATGCCTTAACTCTAATTTGCTGCCAAGCTGGCTCTTGTTGTAAGCTGGTCAGTAATGGCCTATAATGGCATATAAAGAAAATATGGGTTCACCTGTAGCCATCTTTTTTCTTAAACTGAAGTTATTCTGCTTATTTCAAGAGCCATAATTTCATTCTTGGACTCTAGTAGAGTAGCTTTTCTGTTTTACTTTGTCTACCAAACATGATTTCTAGCAAACCACATTCACTAAATTCAGCAGACATCCAACCTGGCCTCTCTCCCCTTTCCATGAGGTCTTGGAACGACATGGATTTTTGCCAGCCAATCAGCAATCAGGCTATGTTACAGATCGTGACTTTAAGGCATCTAAGAGCCCAGCCTAAACCATAACCTCATAGTAAGTGCACTGAAGTTGATTTTTGACATAAAAATGAAAAGTTTTGAAAAAGAAAATCACAAAAAAGAAGGAAAAAAGAACCTCAAACTCATATCTTACAATTAATTAATAAAATTTAGAATTTTCAACTAATTGAATTTATAATTAAATTAATTTTTGACCAATTATTTCAAATAATTTAATTTAATTTTTAATGAAGCCAACTGGGTGGGGCTTCTGCGCTCACAGCTAGAGCCGTGTGCCTGAGATGACCAAATTCGGGACATCCCAGCTCCGTGACATCATAGAGAGCCCGGTGTTTGAAAAAAGTGAATAAAACCAAGAGCAGTCAGACGCCTGAGCCTTTGGCTCAAAGCCATTACTTATGAAATTGCTGACCTTATTAGAAACTATGACCATTCACCACTCGAGCAATCTACTGAAAACAAGGACAAGCACAGTAGGTCTACTTTAAATAGAAAAATGAAACCGACGCAAAGAGAGACAAACAGGGAGCCAGCAGCTTACTGTTTAAAGGCGGATACCACATAACTTTAACAGGCACGGCTTGACTCATGACCCATGTTCACTTGCCGCATGTCTCTCCTCATTTCCTGTCTGCATCTTAGTGACATTACCTAATTTAAACAAAATGCCCCACAAAGATATTTCTAAGACAAAGAGGTAATAGTACTTTATCTTATAGCACGGATGGAGGAAGCAAAGAGTAAAACAGAACAAATAAGGTAAATCAAAAAAGATCTGAGCTGGGTGACTGAACAAGAGCAACCTGATCCTCTATCCTATATTCCACAAAAAGCAGTCTCAGTGTTGCAAAAATTATGAGCAGAATGAGACTAATAAGTCAAAATGTGGGAAAAAAAAGCATTTCTAGCGGACCATCTTTTATTAAGCTTGTCGCTCCATATGATACCAAAAAGGAGAAAAAAGGTTTATGAACAAAAATACTGAGCTCGAGTAGAGTTAATACTAAAGTTTAAACCCTCTGAGCAGACATATGGGCGACACATGGAAATATAATATGTGCAAAAATATACAAATATCATGAACTGCTTGAATCTTCATATGCCGCTTCAGTATGCGTGTGCAGTCTGCTACATATGTCTGCCTAATGAGCTGTCTGGAACTGTTCTCCATTCAAGTATCCTGACAGGCATGAGGTTCACTGAGAAAAGCTGGGAGTAACTGATTCCAACCGGTACATACATCCGTCTACAAATGGCATTTCCATTCATATTTCTTACAGAGAGAATTCATATAGTCTCCTCCCTTCAGGTCTGCTTTACCTCTTCACCACCTCCATCTTCACTCCTCTTACAGTCTCCTCTCCTGCTTCATATTTTTGCTCCCCCTCAATCCCTGGCTCTACATTCCTGCGCTCAGAGGTCACTCTAATGCAACGCAGCAGTAAAGCGGCATTAAGGAGGTAAGCGTGGATGGTGTACACTGGCAAGGGAGCACTGAGGCACTTAGTTACAGCTACTCACTCTCTGCGACTGAAAGTATATTAAACAGGCATTTACTCAGATTGCCTTTGCACAAGCGGGTTATTGGACTTCTACGAGGGCCTTTTTTTCTACAGTTATTAGATTTTCTGAAGACAAAGAAACATCAGATATTGGTTTAGGGGGAAAGATAAATAGCTACCAAATAAATCAACCAGAGACAAGGAGAGCCAGAAAATAGTTTTGGAGAAACCACAACAAACAGAAGATGGAATTTGGGAGTTTTCTGTACTTTTCAAACTTATCTGTGACTTAATATTTGAAAATCCATATGAGGCTGTAACATTCAATCACAACAGTGATCATGCTATTTAAACTACAAACATGCATCAAGGAACGAACGAAAGGAAAACATGCAGAAATATATATATGCAACATTTACACATTGATATTTGAAATAAAAACATTTGCTCTCACAAAATATGAAAGACGAAGTTTGAGGAGAGATGTTTAGTGTGGCCGTCATCTGATTTTCACACCGCTCTTTGTGAATAAGAACACAAAACTGTGCCAGAAAGGGTTCATTTAAGCTCCCGTAGCGCTCAATGAACAGCTTTAACAACAGGTATTTGACTGACAGATGTTTCTAATAAGACCTATCAGTTTCCCTCAGTTCTAATAAACCCAAACCAACTGATAAAACAAAGTGTTTAATATCGTGAGCCTGCACGCCGGCGGACAGATTCACTTGGTTTCAAATAATCATGTGAAAACACCGAGCCAGCACAAACAAATACCTCATAAAGAAAGAAGCTTAGATTAGTCCGTCATCATCATTACAGAAGTAGCAGAGATTTAGAGAGAAGGGCATGCAAATATACACAAACATAGACAAAACGGACGGCACACTGTTTTTGGAAAAAGCTGGAGATACACTTGCCTGTAGTTTGAATGCTTTGGGAGAATCGGGCTGTTTGTTATGGATAAACAAATACAAGTGTTAAAACCTGAAGCTCTTATGTCAGACAAAAGCCATGAGAAAGAGAACACCAGTGCAAACTTAGCCCAACGCTCGAGCAAGAGCTAACATTTTAGGTTAACTTTTACTGAGGTAGGCACTTTAGGATTAGGTAGAACACAACAGCATCAAAAAAGTTTACTTTACAGCTGAGCGCTAAGCTAGTTTCATGTCTCCTGAAGCTAGCTTAGCTTCTTGAACAAGAAAACAGTTAGCTTAGCATTGGCTAAAGCTAAAACAAATGGCTAGTCACACTAGAGTAAAAACAGGATAGCAATCTGTGTTGACAACTGCATTACATTTTTTCACATTCGACAACTAAATGCAAGAAGATATGGCAACCAAAGTTGACTGCTAGGTGACTGCATTTGTCGTCTGGTGGGAGGCAACATGTCTCCAACACATTACAATCAATCTGAGTCAGTAGTTGCAGAAACTGCAACTTGCTTCTTTGCTTTAGAGGACTAGACTCAGCTGGTTGCAAACTGGTTGTACTCCAACAGAAAAGAAAGGTTGTTGAGTATGTTTGTCATTTTGCAATTAAAGCACCATCCTGCAGCAACTATGTCACTATTTGTGGAGGAATTTCTGAGATTCACATCTATGAATCTGAATGCAAATAGCGTGAATTTCTGTCTATGTACACTACCACTTAATTTTTTGCCAATTTACCACTGACTGTTAATTACTGTGTATTATCACAAACAGATTTCCTGTAATTGCTAAATACACCCAGTTAACATAAACTGACGGCAGGGTGCTTTATTGCCATCTTATTGCTGCTTTATTGCTGTCTTGATCCACCAAAGTAACTTTTTATACAGCAGCTTACTGTACATGTTCACCCCCCAGTGCCCTACATTGAAGCAACCATTTCAAAGGCAGTGAGATCACAAATTTCATTGCACCCAGACACAATTACTTTGGTGCCGCGGTCTCCACTGTTTTCTCTAGTGTGACTGTACCTCACAAATGAACTACTCAGGTGTGTTAATCCACGCAGAAACCACAATATAATGACTTTTCACCTTTTTATGGAGCATTACATGCTAGACTATCATTTGCCTCTGAGTAGAAACCAGCAGAGGTTCATGCAGGTTGGTGGTAACAGCCAAGAAAAGTGTTACACATAAATAACTCAATTACACTTTAGTTTTTGCATGGATTAAATAAATGAGAGTCAGGCTGTTGCCGTTTCCTGATTTGTGCCAAGCTAAACTAATGGGTTGTAAGATAAAATCACTGTATGACAGAAATCAACCTTCTCAAGCTTTCTGACATTTTTTAAAACACAGCAATAATACTTAGAAATAATTCACACAGTGATAAAGCCAGCCAGTTTTTCAATGAAATATGAATTTTAGAGGAGATGGGGCCATGTTTAGTGTAGGAGAAACGTAGGCAGTACGGCTCTCACAGGAATGTTGTGATCTTTGCGTCCTTTGTGTGAGGAGGCAACGTGGGCCAGGTACTGGATGACCTTCTTCGTGTTCTCTGTCTTGCCAGCGCCTGATTCACCTCTGAAAAGAAAGAGTAAAGACAAATACACATGAATAGAGTGAGAAAATGTGAGCCAATACATGACAAGGGAGAAACAAACGGGTTTTGTTTCTGACCTGAATTACAAGGTTTCCCTTGTGAAGCACAGCCACATAACAGGAAATATTATGTATGAGTTGTCCACAGTTTACCAAGGTACAGAAAAAACAACCCTAAAACCTTAACCAAGATAACTTTCACTCATCGTTATTGTGGTTAAGAGTGATTGGATGAACTCCAAGGACACAATTAATAGAAACAAAAAAGAAAACAGAGAGAGTGACTAAACATCAGGCTATCTTGTTGTTTTTGTAAAAATCAATCCATTTGTTTGTCAGTCTGTTTTGCTAGAGAACCCTGTGGTTTGGAGAGCCAGGCTCCAAAGTTTCCAGACCCCACTTTTGGGCTGTCCTTAATGATAGCTGTGTTCAGGCACGGCCATCCGCAACTCCCACAGTCGGGTCCTGGAGCTCAGAAAACCAGGGCCAGCAGTGAAAAGAAGCCAGTGACACTACATCCATCTACATACCAGTGGCTTTAGTCTAACTCACTATTAGCTGTGCACTGCAGTTTTAGCTGCAACACTAGAACTGCACGGGCGAGTCCTCGAGTGCAGTGTACGAACATAGGAATATAGGTCAAACAGGTACTCATCCAAGTGTGGTTTGATGTCTTCATTGTTTTACTATGAAGACATGAATCCTCTTTGAATAAGTCTCCCAGAAATCATTCATTGGTTTTCTCGTATATTTTCTCTTTCGCCAAGCATGTGGTTTAAAAGACCTTTGACTTTGGGAACTATTTTTATGTCTAGCCTCTCCTTTTCTCACAGATCTCGGTGGTAGCTAGTCGAACTAGATTCTGAAAACTTAAATGAGAGATTCTTCAAGGTCTCAGTCTTCCTGGATATTCCCTCTCCTGTCCTATGATATGTACCATATGGACATTTTGTAACACAGTGGCTTTTGAATTGGCGCTACCTAAAGATGAATCCAATTAAAAGAACATTTCTGTGGCTTGTTTTTATGCAGTTAGACCCTACTTTTACAGTCAACTCCAATGACTGGAAAACATCATACATAGTTAATGCATGGTTTCTTGCCACATTTGACCATTTATACAACACTATGCATCATTACATACCAGACGCTGACTGCTCACACAAGGCCTGGATCTCTAAATGTTATTCTAAACTATGCACTATATAATTCTGTGCTATGCACTGTTATGCTTAATGGCATGGTGGCCTTTCAACTGGATCAAAGTGATCTATATTACAACAGAGCTGCATAAATGTAGGTCATAAGCAACCTTTTTCATCTGTGTTTCTTCAGGAGTAATTTTCCTTAGAGCAGGATGGGGAAGAGATGTTTCTCTAAACTGGCTGACCATCTAAACCGCAGGTGTCGAACTCCAGGCCTTGAGGGCCGGTGTCCTGCAGGTTTTTAGATGTGTCCTTGATCCAACACAGCTGATTTAAATGGCTAAAATACCTCCTCAACATGTCTTGAAGTTCTCCAGAAGCCTGGTAATGAACTAATCATTTGATTCAGGTGTGTTGACCGAGAGGGAGATCTAAAACCTGCAGGACACCGGCCCTCGAGGCCTGGAGTTCGACACCTGATCTAAACTGTGCGGCTAAACTCTTAAAAGGGCGCCTTTTCCCCAACAGGGGGTGCAGTTTTCTGAATTTAGGGCATATTATTGCAACTGCTTCTCATCTGTTCATTGGCAGCATCAAACCCCAAGAAAGACAGTGGCACTTAATTACCCTCTGCCAAAGAAGATGAAGGCCGGCCACCAAACCACACTCATAACTCCCTCGGTATTGGGTAGAGCCGCTGTAAAAGCCCAGCATCCGCAAAAAGCTATTTGAAACCAACTTTTAAATAGAACATGGCAGGATAAAGGGAGCTGGCCAAATGACTCAGGACGAGAGGAAGATAAAAAGACACGGGGAAAAAATACTATAAATAATCCTTGTAAAGTACTCATAACTATAAAAGATACTTATATTTAAAGGCATTTCAAGGACAAGCGGTCTTTATATAATGTAACTCTATTAAGGTGAAGCGATATAATCCTTGTCTTGAGACAGTTTCATTTTCCAGTCCATCAAGCTGGTTGATCTCTAGAACCACCTTAAAGACCAGTTCAACCATCTGCCCTAAGAAAGAAATTAAGACAAAAGTAGAAAAGAGAAGTTAAGAGTTGCAGTACTCACGTGCAAAGAATTGATTGGTCCTCACGGTCTGTTCAGAGAAAACAGAAAAAGAAAGAAAGCATCTCTTGTTTAGTCATTCATTTTGACTTACAGAGATAGCATTCAATGGCTAAGCTGTCACATACAATGGAACATAACAGTTTAATAGTTTTCACCAGGCTAATACTGGAGCTATCCTGAATGTGAGTACATACACGTACATAAACACAGCTTGCATTTTCCTGAGAATTTCCTGAGAATAACAGGAGAAACATACTGCTCCGTGAACACTGAAGTTTATAAAGGAGGTGTGTTAGGAATGCATTTTTCACCACAGCCAGCAGGGAACTGACATGCTTATCATCAAACAGAAACTCTGGGCTAATTTAGAGACTTAAAAATATGTTTGAAAATACGACATGTTTGGTAATATGGCAGGTTTAATCTTCCAGATGACCAGGCAGCAAATCCAGACTTTTTTAATATGATCTTGTGAAGAGATTTAAAATGTTTAAGAGATGTTAACTAACACTAACAATTAACCCTACAATACCCTTTGTATCATATTTGATACATGAGTTTTTGAGACCTCTATCTCATCAACATGATCAATATTTGCCATGATTTCAAAATGTTATGGACAAAACTCTGCCTAAAATTAACATTGTTGTTAAAAAAGAAGTTACCAAAAATGCCCAATGTATCAAATGTGATAGAAAAACATATAATAAATATATAATTAAAATATATCATACACAACATGATACAGCAAAAAAAGCGGATTTTGTTATAAGGGTTAATAAAAATCTCATTTGATAGGTTGGGTCTTACAGGGTTACTCATGTTTTTTCAGATATTTTTTCAATTTTCTGACATTTAAGTCATAACCTAACCCTAAACCTAAGCAATGAGTATATGTTATCTTTATATACATTAACTTGTTCTCCCAAGTCTTGACAAAGTCAGAAGTTTTTGCCTTTCTCCAAAATACAATTTTTAAAACAACTGAATTTATTGTGAACCTTTCATAGTGTCAAAAACTAAAATGCTTTAGTGAACTACAGAAGCTGAATCTATTTAAACTCAAAACTGATGCACGTTGTATTATTTTTAGCCATTTCACCTAGTTTAAATAATTGCTTTAGGTATCTAATGTATGTAATGTATCTACTTGAAACATTTATCAGTTTCATAGCATACTACACTTTCTAGGAATTTTCCCTGAGGTTTTCTAAGCTACAGACACCTGGTTTGGTGAAATTGAGGCCTTCGTGACTACAGGCCAAGAAGCATACTTCATCTCAAGAGACTGAGAACAAGAAATGATGAGAAAAGAACTTCAAAAACCGCAGTCATCTCTGAAGAAACAAACAATTTGCAGTTAAAAAATATTTTTCTTGTTGTTTTAAAATGATAGCAAACCATAATTTTTCCTGACACTTATTTAGAGCCTCAAGTACAACTTCAAATATACAAAGATCACTCACCATTCCATTTACTAGTTCACACGAGAGCAGCCACTTAATAAAAACCATGCTCTCCAAGTAGCTGTTTACTGTGACTAATACCTGCAGTCATAACCTAAAACTAAACCTAAAACCATCTGCTTGTGTACCATGTGAAGAATGAAGCCTGACATCATCGCTTTACCCTTTAGGAGACAGAAAACACAGAAGAAATTACCTCATCACATGTGCCTATGACAAAGGCCAGGGGGTAAAAACGTGCACTGAGCTGGGGAGCAGCTGCAGCATAAGGGTGAATGCCTTACTGCTAACAAAATATCTATAACACACATTTAATGATGACACGGGGACAAAACATGTTATTTTATTCTTATTTATTGTTTTGACATATGACTTGATCAAGGAAGCATCTGAATAAATTGTGTTTTTAAAAGTGAAACTGAAAGGAACGTATCACAACTACAAATCAGTACTGGGGAAACAGCAGCAGGTTTACTGTTAGACATCACAGAGGGTCTGTTTTGCTGTGGCTACATTAGATGCTTGCAGGTAAAGTCCTGTTTTTCTCACATGTTTAAAGTACTCTTGTTGAGTGGTTCTTTTTTATGTGTGAATAAAGCTGGTTCACAAAAACATGGCGATTAACTAAAAGCTCTAATGGATAATTACAGTGGTCTCTCTAAAAGCCATCCGCTCCGCAGAGATGATAGTTCAGCTTAAAGGACTTGGCACAGAAATTTACTCACACCTTGTTGACATGGCTCGGTTTTCACAGGTGGCTCAAACAGTCTTTAAGGTGTTATATTTCCCTAGAGAAATGTCCTTTTGTTGTGTACTAAAGCGGAAACTTCCTTTAAGTGACAAAAAGCAGGTGACAAATGAGTTTGTGCGAGTGTGTTCATGTGAAAACATTAAAAGGGATTCTCTTTTCTCTCCACGGAAAATCAGCTTTGTTTGATTAAAAAAAAAGAATCACGGATGTAAATGTAGGGCAGATAAGATGCAACACAAAGATTCAAGCCTAATGTATGCAGATATAACTGGCATCATCTCCCCTGACAATCAGGCTGCCTTGAGGCGACTTTTGTTGTGATTTGGCGCTATATAAATAAAATTGAATTGAATTGAATTTAAACTCGGGTCAAAGTTTGATAACTCATCCTGCCTGTGTTTTATAGTCTGAGACCTGATGCTCATCTGATTTACCCAATATTGGTTTAAACAGGCCCAAAAGTCCCATCGGACACTCACGCAACAGCACGTAACCCCTCATGAAAATTAAAACCAAACACATACTAACTACACAGCTTCTGAACAACATCAGGTGTTTACAGGTTTAAACAGGGGAGGCGCGTGACCTCATGTTTCTGAAATTAACACCTGATGGCAATTCGAACAGAACAATCCCAAAAAATTCAGCGTGATTTTGGATTTTTGTGTTTAAATGATGCATACAGTACAACTGTGACAAGCCCAAATGGCAGTTTATGACCTAAACACCATGTGCCGGGTTAGTTCCCAGAAACATAGGTTCTGATACACAGAAATTATGTTTTGTTCTTCTGGCAGCAGCTTGTCAGTAGTCAGCAGTGTTGGTCAAGTTACTTGAAAAAAGTAATCAGTAACTAATTACTGATTACTTCCCCAAAAAAGTAATCCCATTACTTTACTGATTACTTATTTTCAAAAGTAATTAATTACTTAGTTTTTAAAAACACGATTTACAACCTGAATAGGTGATAAAGCGATAGATCTTTCAG